ACTTAAATTGCCCCACCCTACCCCAATCTGTCTGTCTGCTTAGCAAGCTCCGACTCATCCTTCAAGCCTCACTTGGTTCACAAGGCAACTCCTCTGTGAAGCGTTCCTGATTTCCCCGGGAAAATCTGAGCACTATTCCTTCTTTGCTCATACATTGAGCTCTTCTCCCTGTACCCTGTACTTACCTCCTTCGGAGCAATAGGATCAGTAGTATCATTGCTTGTTACTAGATTCTGAACCTTTGGGGGACGGGGGTATGTATTAGGAAAAGAGTGGGTGGGTGGATGGATGGGTGGATGGATGAATGGGTGGGGCAGATGATGGATAGATGCATGGATGGATAGGTGGATGGATGGATGGATGGGTAGATGCATGAGTGGGTGGATGAGTAGACAGGTCGATGGGTGGGTGATAGCTGGAAAGCTAGATGGGGCGACGGTTGCTCGTATGGGTGGGTGAATAACTGGGCGAGCATGTAGGTCAGTGGGCAGGAGCGGTGGATCGGCTCGGGGCTAGGCTAGGCTAAGTTGTCAAGCCCCATTCAGACTTTCTCTACCATGTCAGAGGACTCAGCCCGGAGAAACCATTTCCCTGGCTCGCTAGATCTGCAGGCAGCCAGGGGCGAAGCCTCCACTCCGGAGCAGGGCCCAGGACCAAGCCCCAAGGACCCCCAGCTGATTAGGGGAGCCCAGCTTCACTGCTGACTCGCCATGGCCCCTAGAAAGTCCCTGGTATCTCTGGTCTCAGCTTCCACTCTGAGGGGCAGTGTCATTAAGGCTAAGAGTGTGGGCTGTGGAGCCAGACCGCCTGGCTGTGTCATCTGAGCTCCACCGCTGACTAGCCGTGTCCCCTCGGACACGCGCCTTAAGCTCTCTAAGCCTCATCTGTAAAACAGGGATGAAAAGCGACAGCCTCACAGGGTTGCCATGAGGACCAGTGAATGGGTCGTCGGGTAGTGACCAGCATCCAGCCAGCACTCAGCAAGCTGCGGGGACTGTGCCGCCCTGCCCAGCATCCGGGCCTCGCCCGCTCGGAAGGGGCTGCCTGCAGCCCCACCAGGCTCCGGCCACAGTGGAGAGGCCTGCCAGACCACGCTGACTGCCCAGGTCCTGTGGTGTCCCATCCTCACCTGAAGTCGGGGTAGCAGGTGGCATAAGTGGCCACCTCGATCTTGATGGCACTGGGGTCTTGCAGGCGAATGATCTCAGCAAGCGTGGGGAGGGCTTGATGCAGCCAGGCCGCCGGGGACCCCTGCAAGCACAGGCCTGGTTGGAGGGGAGCTGCCCCACCCCGAGGGGCGCCTGGGGCCCACAGAGGTTCTGGCTGGCACTGGCTGGGCTCGCAGGGGCCCAGAGGCGCAGGGGGCCGGGCTTACGTTCTGAGTGCAGAAGCGCTGGATGAGGTCGGCGTTGGCCAAGATGTGCCTCGCCAGCTGCTGCTGCTGCTCCGCCGTCTTGAGGACCACGCGTCGCTTGCTGAGCCGGATGATGTACTCCTTCACCAGGTGCAGGTGGATCAGCTCCATGAGCTCCTGCGAGGGCAGCGGGCAGGTCGTGAGCCAGCCGCTGACGGGGAGCTCGCCAGCCCCGTCGAAGCCTCGAAGCCAGGAGTCCAGGGCGGGGCAGGTGCCAAGGCAGAGGGGTGCGTTCAGGTGTGCGTGCGTGTGTGTGCGTGGGGGTGGGTGTGCACGCACGTCTGTGTTAGCATGCGTGTCCAGGCTGCCCCCTGCTCCTTCCCGCCAGGCTCAGCCGCCGGCCTGCGCCTCCTCACCTCTCGGAAGCAGTCGTGCAGTTCCGAGAACTCAGGCAGCCTTTCTCCCACGGTGAAGAGGATCGCCTCCAGGGTCTGTGCGGGGGCCGCCCAGCGGGTCTGCGTGAACCTCTTGAACAGCGGCTGTGACAGGAGAGGCAGGATGTCTGGCCGCGCCCTGAAGAGGAAGGGCGGCCGGCCACAGACACGCACGCACACGCAGACACGCGCGCTGACACACGCGGCCCGGCCCGGGAGCAAGGGGGACTCAGGGACTCCCAGGGAACCCAGGCAGAACTCAGGTCCGTGTTTCCCAGACAGGAAGTGGAAGTGGAGTCGGTGTACCCGTCTCCAAGGTCAACCATCTGAGGCTCCTTCAGAGCCAGGCCAGCTGGAGTCGGGATGGCCATCCGCCTGCCCCGAGGCCTTTTCCACCGCCCCCTCTAAAATAAATAAATTCCTGCATAAACAAGGCCCTGTGCTTGGCCGCTGACAAATCATCCAAGTCACCACGTGGACACCAGAGATTTTCTAGAGGCCTTCGCCATCAGCAGGCCACCCCATGGCCTCCTGTCCTGGGCACTGGGGGCAAGGCAGGCTCCCACAGAAGGCAGGCAGGGAATCCCTCCCGTAAGTCCAGGGACCCCTGCCTTTCCCTCTGCTAAAATAAACGAGGGGTACTTAGATGTTTTTGTCCACAGCGGATGTGGCAGGGGCTGTCAAAGGCTCTGAGCATCACAGCCGGGAGTTAGGCACGGGGTGAGGTCAGGAGGTCCCCGTGGCCCCCTCAGCCGGGCGGTACCAGCCTCTCTACAGCCAGCCCCCCCAGCATGCCTACCGCGTGCTTCTGCCGGCCCTCTGCACCCCAGCCCCTCTCCGGCCCCTCCCCAGGTCCCCCCAGCACCGGGCTCAGCGTACATCCCAGGGAAGGAGGCGGCAGCTACCTTCAGGTCCCCGAACAGGCTCTGGAGCAGGGCGTCAAAGCCATGGCCCTTGAGCTCACTCAGGGGGCCCAGGAGGTCCTGTGATGACTGCCACTTCTGCTCCACGGATGTCCTGGAAGGACATGGAGGCAGGGCGGTCACAGTCCTGCCTACCCTACAGCGCCATGCTCAGCGAGCCAGGAAGCCCCAGGCGAATCTCCCTAACCCACCTCTTCACCCTAGGACACTCAATGGCTCCCCACTGCCAGTGGGGGAGAGTCCACGTCCTCCGCCCACACTCCACAGGCGCGGCCCAGTCGGCCGCCCCCCCCACGCCCACACTGCACCCTTCTAACTGAGGGGCGCTGCTCAGCCTCGCCAACCTCAGTGCTCGTCTGCTTAACCGACTATAGCGGTGCCCACCTCAGAGGGCTGTTCTTGGATAAACCATTTGCACAAGTGCTGGACCCACCGGCATCAGGTAACTGTTTCCTGGTGCCACAGGCCCTGCTCACTTCCCCACCTGCCTGGCTCAGCCTGATCCCGCATCTGAGCCTCAGCTGCTCCTCGCCCCCTCCCCCACCCCGCGCATGCCCCCCCAGCTCCCAGCTACCCCTGCTCTCCCACAGGAGGCGGGCCCGGTCACTCTGGCTCCCACGACCTCCTCCTGGCTCCTCACCGGAAGGACAGGCCATTGTTGATGTTGGCGATGATATTGACCCTGTAATTCTTCAGCTGTTTGCACCTCTCCAGAAAGTCATCAAAGGCCCGCTGGTAGCTGGCGAAACCAGAAAAGACACTTGCAGGACCAGCACAGACATCGGGACGATAGCAGCCTCCTGGGTTGACAGAGCGCTTTTCCGACTGCTGGTCCCCCACAGCCCGGGGCAGGCCCCTGGCTTCAGAGGCAGAGGCCAGGGCCCTGCGGGGCTCCCGGAGAGGGTGCCAGCCTGGGTCTGCTGCCGCCTCCTCAGCTAGAAGACTGGGTGGATGGAGGGGTCCTCAGAGGTATGGAGGGCGGTGGCCAAGAGAATCGTGGGGGTGGAGACTGGGGGCATCACCGGAGGGCGTGGCCAGGGTCCCAGTCCCTCGGGGGGCGTCCTCTTGGCAGCTGGAGGCTGCTGTGCTGGGAGCTTTGCTGAGTAGGGTGGAGTAGGGTGGAGGTTCTCAGTGCCCAGATGGGTGGTGCAGGGGGAGAGGGCTCCTGCTTATAATACCAGACACCCTAGAGAGCGGGAGGGAGGGGATGCTGACCCAGCCTGGGTCCCCAGATGGGGTACAAGGAAGGAGGCTATAGGGCCCCCTCTGTGCATGCAGGTGCACACACCTACCTCCTCAGGAAGGCGGCCAGCTCCATCACCAGCATTTGCTTTATCTGCATGCCCAGGTCGAGGGTGATGCTCTCGGCCTTGGCCTGGCCCTGGGAGACGATCTGCAGGGGTGAGGTGGTGAGCTGAGCAGCGGCCCACCTGGACCAGGGCTGGGGAAGGGCTGGGGGCATGACGGAGCAAGGGGCAAGCTCAGAGGTGGGTAGGAGTGTACGCGCGGGATGGACCCGTGGGCTCTGCGCCATGCGCTGCTTGCTCCCGAGTGGGCTGTCTGGGTGCATGAGGGGTGGGCCGTGCTACCTGGATGATGTCGATGGCCAGCTCGCTGTGACAGTGGCCATCCAGCCTCTGGGGGGCCACATCCTGGGCCCAGCGCTGTGACTCCAGCCTCAGGGCGCGGGCCATCAGCTCCTTCACGCTGGTCTGGGGGAAGGAGGGGCAGATCAGGGGAGCACAGAGCCCATGGCCCTGCCCGTGTGGAGGTCCTTGTCAAGCTCCCAGCCCACGCCCTGTCTGTCCCCTAGCCTCCCTTCTGCTTCCTTCCTGACCCTCCCTTGCCCTAGCTCTGACGCTGGCGCTGGACTCACCACCTCGTTGGACAGGAACGTGGCCTCCAGCAGCTGAATCTGCTTCCGGGGCAGGAGACTCCCCAGCTTGACTCCCTGCAGCTCGCCCGCCAGCTTGGGGCTGTTGATGATATCACTGTGGGCAGACGGGGCTGCCATGAGGGACACTGCGCCCACCTAGCGCCATCCCGTATGCGAGATCTCGCCCCCTCTGCCTGCTTCTCTGCAGGCCCTGACCCGGACTGTCCCCATCCTCCCCATCCCGGTTCCTCCGCCTCAGTGACGATGGGTCCTCCATCTGCTCAGCCTGCCTCCTCTGACTCTCGTGCTCCCCATCCACTCTGGCTCCAAAATATCCTCACCCCAACCCCCAAGTGATCAACCTTCGGCCACCCAGGCCTGATGCCAGCACCCCACCGCCAGCCTGGCTCAGCACAGGAGCCTCCTCCCAGGCCTCCCTGCTTCCACCCTGGACCCCAGCAACCCCCTGCCCAGCAGGAAGAACCCGTTAATCCCGTCCTTCAGTCTGAACTCCCCGCCCTAAGATCTCCCCCCCCACAGATGAAGCCCAGCTCCCTGGGGCAGCGGCTGGGAGACTAGCCACTGGCTCTCGCCCCGCCTCCTTCCTACCCTGTCCCCTCGCTGCACTCCAGCCCTACACTCCAGCCCCGTGCCCCCTTCCTTCCCAGGCCAGCCCTGCCCCCCCAGAGGGTGGGCGGTGCAAGCAGGAAGGGCTGCCCCTCCCCTCCGACTGCTCCATGGGGCGTCTCCATTCACTCTGCTGGCACCTCCGCGGGGTCCCAGAGCCCCTAGGGAGAGCCCAGCCCTGGCATTTCCTCGGGGGCCATTGTCTGCCTAGAGGCTCAAGAGTGGCCCCCTCTGCCCCTTTCTCAGCCAGGACACGGTGTCCCTTCGTTCCCTGAACTTCTGGCCACACAGGCCTCGACTCCCCTCCCCCAGGGCTCCATGCCCAGCTGGCCTCGGTTTTCTGCTGGGCTGACCCCCATGGGCCCCAGGCTAGCAGCCCCCAGGTCACTGGGACAGGAGGCTGAGTGGCAGAGGTGTGAGTGCCCAGCGTTTCCTGATGAGTCAGGAACAAGAAGCAAGAAGGAAGTGGCTCGCGCTGGCCTCTCCCGCAGCCCCTGCCCTGTGCCAGTTTCCCTGTGCCCTGCTGACTCCTTATCCACTGCCCCACAGGGCCCTTCCCAGGTCCCCTGCTGGAGGCCCACCCACCAGCACCAACTCAGCGCACTGGCCACCAGATGTGACCCCGAGACCTTCAGACACCGCTCACACTGGCCATACCTCCAGGCTTCTCGTAGGCTTTATGCTTGGGGCTGGGGCCAGCCCTTCCAGCAGCCCCCGGCCTCCCGGGCCGGGAGCACCCCCACACTGCAACCTCCCCACCCAGCTTGTGCAAATGACGGGCCCGCTCAGAGCTCCACGGAGTCCGGGTAAATCCGGGATGCCTCAGGCTGTATCGCCAGCACCATGTACCCTCCGCTGGCACAGCCAGCCTCCCACCTGAGGTCCTCGAGGCCTCAGTGGCCAGGAACCAGCTCAGCCATGGACTCACTGGGCGACCTCCTTCCAACAGGCCGCATGGCCCGACGTCACCTCAGCTCTCTGTGCTGCCTGGGAGGGCCGCCGCAGCCCCCCGATAAATCCAAACATTGACAAGCTCCGCGCAGCTCCCAGAATGCCTCACGGCTCGGCCAGGCCCTGGAAGATGACTCCCTTGCGGGGAACGCCATCCTCCCTCGGCCTCGTCCTGGCCTGCCTCCTCGCTGCACCCCCTGCCTCCTCCCAGCCTGCCCTGCCCCCTCCCCGCTGCCTCCCCTACTTCTATTCCTTCTATTCGCTGCCCCGAGCAGGATCCTGCACCAGACAGAAGCCTCCTCCACATCGGCTTCTCCACTGGCCCAGGCCAGGTTAGGGCCCCTGCTCTCTGCTCCCACGGTTCCGGGTCTCCTCTGCCACGACCCTTCCTGCTCTGGATTGCCGTTGTCTGCCTCACCCCTACCCGCCGCCCCCCGCCCAGTCCGTGAATGATGAAGTCCTTGCCATTCTCTGTGCCTCGGTTTCCCCTGCTGCT